GCCCTTCCCCCTCGCCCTCCCCCCTCCCCACTCCCCCGCTCCTCCGTCCGAGAGGCTTAGATAGCGACTGTTTTACTGTACAAAAGTCTATTCGGTACTCCCTGTCACCTCCCCTCTTGCTCCTTTCCAGGAGACCGCCCTGGATTTGCCTGTGCCAGTTTTACACTGTTAGGACCCGTTATGGATATACAGCACTGTGTTGTTGATGGTTGAGGCACCCGTTGACAAACATTTTCGACAAGGTATTTATCAAATGGGGAGTCACAGCACGGTGGATTTTTTGCTGTGGACTTATGTTCGTGTACGTATAACTAATTTTGTACACTCGGGGCCTCACAACGTTGTTTGTTTGAGCATCCAGGATGATGGGTATATTTGGCCGCGAGAAAAAAGTGGACACGAAGGAAGCAGTGCGTGAGTTGCAACGAAAAATGCGTGTTGAGCTGCGACAACTTGATCGCCAAGTACACGCCATCGAACGCGAGGAACTGAAGGTGAGCAGTGGCCTTCCTCTTTGAAATATATTTCTCGTAAAATTGCTGGAAAATTACATAATGCATGTTTTTCCTTTGAAATATGTGTTTTGCAAAATTGCTGGAAAATTACATACTATAATGCAGAGGTAAGCTTGTAGCCTGTCTTTCATCCCTCAATCTGTAAATTACAGAAAAGATGTCAGTAATACTCGGGCCACTGAAGCATTTAATATGGGGTAACATTTTTTGACACACCAAGAATACAATAATTGGCCAGCACGCCAATTGCCGATACAAAAATGCGTTTTTTGCACAGTTCTCCGCAAGTTATTTTCGCTAACGGCACTGTTTTTTCCGGCAGATGTTTCTAGCTAAAAGAATTGAGACTGGCCACCACGACTGCCAGAAAACACCTTTAAAATTTCAGCTTTCTAGTTTTTCTGGTTTCTGACTTAGCAGCTTACTTGCCATAAATTTCCACAGGCCCGTAAGTGGAAACGACATGGGCAAAAGCGTCCATTTTGGAAATAAAGACCGGTGCATGCATGCAGATTAAGTTCTTATAGTTTCTGTCCTGTTCATTTTGTAGTTCTCGAGATGAGAAATCGATACAGACAAATACACAGACACTCCTTCGTCAGTATGAGTTTTCTGCATCGGATAGACGCAAAAAATGCATAAAAAGCAACCGGACAGTCGGCACGAGATCACTTGTTATTACAGATATCATTGGGATACTCCCACACACCAGTTAGTCAGATTTTTCTGTCCGCAGTAAGTCAAACTTTTCTATCCTAATCCATATAAACGCTGTCAAATTTTTGTATTCCGCACTATCTAGATACTATCTGATGCGTTGCCACTGGCAAACCATGAGGTGACGAGGTCGGAACTTTGCGATGGGCCAAGAGAATATTACATGATCAACAATATGCAGGAAAAGGGATTTGTACAGCACTTTGGCGAGCGGCTACACATCACTTGCAAGATTGACTGGGAAAAAAAGGGCTGGAAAATATGAGGTTTAGGAAAGACTCCTGCAAAATAGAAATATTAATCATATGCATATACATCTATGATTGTGTTAAAATAACCGGATGGACAGAAATGTTTCAGCCCACGAAGTTGTAGAAATTTTTGTTCAGTACCATAACTGAAACTTGTCAGTACAACGGCTGTGGTGTTGATAAA